CCCCCGGCGCTGTATGGAGCTGCTGTTATGGGAGGAGATTTTGGTAGTTTCTGGCATGAGGATTCAGAATCCAAATGGGCCTGGTTCCTGATCAATTGATTCTTCAGTGCTGGAGGTCTTCCTCCTCTCTGACGAGCTCTGGAGACTTCATCTAGTCTAATGACCTGATGGTTGGCCTATCAAATTTTAAATTAACGTATCTTGAAGGATGTGGTAAGGGTAGTCACCTCTGTTTTAATTACATTATGTGCATCCTTTTATTGTTCTTCTGCAGCAGATCCTTGTTAACAGATGGTTTTCTGGTGCCTTAATCATATTACAGAAAACTGGAAATTTCAGAGGTGGGAGGTGGTAGAGAGGGAGCTGAGGTCAAATTTCTACACATACAAACCAGAGAACTGTAAGGCAGGAGACCAGTCCTTTAGCTCTTTCAGATTACTGTGGAAAGTGGTTTCCCTTTATATGTTTGCAAAAGATTATTTAGAGCTGCATTTATAGACTTTTTAAACTCTCACTGTATCAAGCTGTCGTGCAAAAGGCACTTTAACCTGGTGCATTAAAAATCCTTCCTTGGGTGTGTATTCAGGAAAGCTTTTTGGAACACTGAATTTTCAGCATGTGGAAAGTGACAAGTAATCTGTTCAGTTGTATTCAGATTGTGGAGGGATTTTGGTTCCAATTGTTTGAAGGGAGGACTGGCTGAAATCCTAATTCCAGTGCTTTGGATGATGAATATTTTTTTTTTTACCCGTAAAATTCAGCCTACTATCCCTTGTTTCCAGAGAACGTTGGGAGGTGGGGCAGGGGAGGAGGTTGATTAAAAACATTACAGTGCTCCATTTAGGCTTTAATTTAAAAAAAAAAAATTTCACATGCACACTTACAAGCTTGAATGCTTGAAATATTCATTTAAGCATGTGCCTTTCTATTATTTTACCTCCTGCAGGCCTCTAATGGATTGTTAAGGTTACACTAATGACTTTACTGATTAACTCCAATATTTCATCTTGTGCTCTACTCCTAAAAACCTGTCCCTGATCTGCTCTTGTACTGTTCTGTATCATCTTAATAAAAATGTATGCAAATGCCAGGTCACCATTTAGATGCACCTGGAGCTTTTCAAAAGGATTGGCTATAAAGAAGTGTCCAAACAAAATAAGGATTCTTCTGAACCAGCCAACTGAGAGTTAAAACTGTCTATGCATTTGGGAGAACAAGACAAGGGTCATATCAGTCCTCTTTCACTGCTGCACAATTCTTAATTAAAGGTCTGTCATGAGCAGTTTGAAGAATTCCATGTTCCTCTAACTGGTTAATTTGTTAGTGCTCCAGGAAAGACAGTACATGTGTTCATTATTTAAGATTACAAGGATGGTGCAGAGAACAGCATGTATTTGGGTATGTGGAAGCATATCTGCTCAGCATACATCACTGCTGCCTGAATTAATACAGGGCATGGTTCAGATCCAGCTTCTGTTTCCTGAAATTAATCCAATGGCCTCTGCCGTAGAGTGTAGTTGGTTTAGATTGCTGGGTAAGACTATAACTCTTTCCTGGGATTGTGTCTATAACTAGGGGCGCCTATACATGTGCAGAGAGGCTGCTCCGACACACTGTAATTACAGCATGTTGGAGCAGATTTGATTAATTGAGTCTGCTGGAGCATGGTAATTACTGTGCTACATCAGATTCCAGTGTCGTGTGCATCAGCATCCCCGTGCTGAAAATGGCAGTAGGGGTGCTTTAACTAAAGCTTGTTCAATGCCTTCAGTGGGGACACTGATACATGTGACACTCCAGGTGCTTTCATTTAGAGCTACTCTAATTAAAGCACCACCTCCCCACTCCTGGAGCATGTGTATAAACACCCCTCAGGCCCTGCCACATAGTTTCGTAGTTGGTACGGTCGGAAAGGACCTGAGCAGATCATCAAGTCTGACCCCTGCCATGGCAGGAAAAAGTACTGGGGTCAAATGACCCCAGCAAGATGTTTGTCCAGCCTCTTCTTAAAGACCCCCAGGGTAGGAGCCAGCACCCCTTCGCTTAGAAGTTGGTTCCAGATCCTAGCCGCCCTGACAGTGAAGTAGTGCCTCCTGATGTTCAAATTAAAGCTGGAGAGAAACCTGTTATAAAATTACTACACATTTCCAAGAACTAACTTTGCAGATGGTTGGCTCTTTTTATAGTTGGATGGACATTTTTATGCTGTGATTATTACTCTGCACATGTGGCCAGTTCAGTGCCTTCAGTGGGGACAAATTTATTGTGCAATTAACCATGAATTGCATAATGTATGTGATGTGTGGTGGGGGTATAGGTTCTGCTTCACATGTACTGCTGGATGCACGTGCATGGTGTTGCCAGGAGACACGAACTTTGGCTTAGACAGTCTTGTATGAAACACTGAGGTTCGCAACCAGGACTGAACATCCCTAGTCTTTCTCTTGCAAATAAACTGATAATTTAAATAATTTCCTTCAGAATTAATCTGATTTTGGAAGTGGTAACACCTTAACTCCTTTAAAACTCAATGGATAGGACATCCTGGTACTGCTCTTGCTTGTAGGTTATTCAGTTGTTAGACTCAGAACTGCTCCTGCTGACCTGTTCTCTCTCTTACTAAGGAGGCCTTTAAAGACCAGCAAGTGTAGGGAAACACAGGATGTCCTATTTGGGGGGTGGAGGACTGTAGTTTGGCAGATTTCTTAAACTCTTTGCCCCTTTAAAAAAATTCAGACTGATAATGTCCCTTTCCCATGCAGGTGAGGGCATATTTCATTGCTAGACAGTTGTCTTTGTTTAACAGCAGTGATTTGGTTACATTTTTTTCAAGTGTGGAAAGTTAAATGTAAATGGTAGGTAACTTTTTATTTCCTTTGAGGGAATATGAAAGATTCAGAGTTACAACTTCAAGGGCCAAAGGGTAGGAAAAGCTGTCAGTAAAGTAAAATTCAAACGCCTAATCAGTTGGCACCATTCTGCATGTTAATTCATTCCATCCTAGCATGCCAGGTAGGGCAGTTCAGATGCTCTTAAAGCTCTGAATGTCTGACTTTTTGTACTCTCTCTCACATTCACTTCTGGACCTAACCTAGTCTCAGACTAGAGACTTCTCTGTCAGAGGGTTGATTTTAAGATGTGTGAGTCTCTACCCATGTTTTGCATACCAAAACTATGCCACTTTAGCCTGTAATCTCTGGATGAAGCCCATTACAGAGTGGACTAGTAGGCCTTCAACATGGTGAGTAATTTATTAAAGAGCGAATTGTTAGCAGCAAGTTTATCTCCTATTTGGACTGGCCACATGTCAGTTCCCAGCTATTAGATCCTTATGTCTTTCCTTACTAGGTCAAATGTTTCTGCTGGTGGGAATACTATCAGTTTGTGATCAAATTATCTCTTAATTTTTCTCTAATAGCTAATCTTTATGCTCTTTAAATCTCACTCTGAGGCAGGTTTTCTAGTGTTCAAATCATTGTGGCTTTTTTCCAAACCTCTTTCAATTTTATAACTTGGTTTTTGAAGTTCTAATGCCAAAACAGAACACTACTGCTGGTTTAAAACTAAACCAGTTAACACTTGTGAAAAATACCTAAATATGTTAACATTTATAAAGATTTGCCTCAAAAGGAGTATTAGGCACCCAAATACCTTTAACAGTCTAGCCCTGAATCAATATTCACTGTGATTTAAGATGCACTCATTGCCATCTTTGTATGCTTCCAGAGCAGACCTAAAGTTTGGCTGTAAAGAACAGCAGTGTTGGGGATGTGTACATAGCAAAAAAAAAACTGCTCAGCTATGTTTTGAGCTGAGTGATGATTTTTAGGGTTATTCTTCCAATCAAAGATTATTTTTGGAGGGGGGAGGAGGGTTCAGCTTACAGTCTACAGACCAAATTAAGTCTTCTATACTGATTTCTAAAACCAGCGGAATACTTTTATCATTAAAGACTTTGATTGGTCTCTGATCTATTCTGGAAAACAACTGCACCTCTGATAATTGGCACAACACAGGACTTTCTCCCATTTTAACTTAGAACCTTTTTATGTCTTGCATGAAGCTTAATACTTTCCTTCTTGAAGCTGAAAGTGGTTAAGAAATATAGACATTCTCTTGCGTACAGCTTTGTTGTTTCAGTAGTTGATAAGATGCAGTCTGAAATAGAGCTCTCTTTGCCACAGTATGGCCTGTACCTGTCTTCCATAAAAGTGCAGCTGAAGGAAGCTATAGATTCTAGAGCTTTAGTGGGTGATCTAATGAAGCACACAGTCAGCTATGAAAGCTTTTGCATCTCTGAAGGTAGTCTGTAAGATGCTGTCCTGACCTTTCTTCTGCCAGGGATTTAAAGGCAGGGTTTCTCCCTGTTGTTAACTGACAGAATCTCCTTGGAAGCAGTCTCATTCTACCTTGTTCTTCTACTATTTTCAGTGGTTAAGATACTGCTTTTATACAATATCATCTATTATCTGGCTATGGGGGTAGGCAACCAAGAATGAAAACGCTGCAAAGTCGGCTGTTTTGAAAGGACAAATATGCTGTCCTTACTCACCCACCCCCGGTGCCCTGCGCTGGCCATGCCACCATGGCAAAGCACCCCCTGCCCACCTGGCAGCAGTGGGGGTGGCGGTGGCATGGAGTTGTGCCCCCTATTGCTGCTGGGCAGACAGGGGGGTGCATGGCCAGTGCATGGCTCCCAGGAGAGAGGCAGCAGGGCAGGGAGCCCTGAGCCCGCAGTGGGCAGCCTGCACCCACCCCCACTCTGCTTGGTTCTGCTCCAGCTGTGCTACTGGGAGTGAGAGGGAAGAAAATGAGGGGAGCTAGAGGCGAGCATATGTTCCACCTTTGCAAAATGTCAGCCTAAAAACAAGGTGTGTGTGTTTTATTTGGGGACATGTTATCTGTAATAATGTAATATGGTATAATACATAATGTAATATAAGGCCAGGAAGAAATTCTACTATGTGGCTCAGTGAGATGGACCCTGCCCCCATGGAAGGGAAGGGGCCCTGAGGTCTACCTTTAGTATTTAATAGTCATTGGATAAAATAGACAGATGGGAGTCATGGTTAATAGAAGGGGGAAAACATTGCTAAAGCATGCATTAATTTAGTTTTCATGAAGATTTCTTAAAGCAAACACAAGGACTTGAGTAACCTGAGAACTGAAATGCTTTAAGTAAACTACAGACAGGAGATATTGAGGTGCCATTAATGTCTGAGACCTCTGTTGTGGCAGGAATTGCCTGGACAGGAGTAGCTCAGATGATCCCAGAAAGGGAACTTTGCCATCAGCTGCAGGGAAAAGTTCAAAACCCCAAAGTTTCCTTCCCAAATCTGGCACTTCGCAAGAAATCAAGTGTATAAGCAAGACAGACCAGACAAGCCTCCAAAAAAGGCATCTTGGAGCACTGATCCATTCTGGCTAGTGCCCCACTTCCATTCAGGGAGGACCTCTCATGCTTCAGAAGAAGACAAAAAACCAAATCCACAAACCAAGTGCATGTAGCGAGTTGTGCATTGGGGATAAAAATTCCTTCATGACCTTGCAGATACATGGCTAAAGCTCCTGCCTCAGAATTTTGTCTCAATGCAAAGCCACAAGTGCTGAGAGAAAATTGAGTTCCCCCCAGGATCCCTAAAGGAAGACATAAGCAGGGGCTTTGGCCCATCACAACCATCCAGCTCATGCACATACATGTATCTGGGAGATTCTACAATAATTTTTTCTTAAAAGCCTTCTAAGCTCATCTCAAAACTCCAAACAACAGTGAAGCTACCAGCTTTTTGCTAAGTTCTGTCCGATCCATCACTGCTATTTCTCTGACCCTGTAAGACCTTGTGGATGTATGTTGAAGTTTAACCCATTCACTAAAATAAATACAGTGAAATAAACGTTTTGTATGACTATTTCCTCACACAGCTTTTACTTACGTTATGGGATCTTTTACCTGAACTTCCAGCTCTATTCAATTCCCTGTTGCTTGCTAGTGTCTTGCTAAGAATATAGATACATTCACTACCTTGTGCTTGAAAGGTAAAAGAACCTAGTTTCTCCTGAACCTACATGGATTCAGCACTTGAGAATTACATATGTGTGTCCCCTTAGCAAGTGCTGGACTGCAGAGAGCTCAGTCATGCTTGCAGAGGACATAAATCAGTGTCGCCTTTTGTCCATCTT